AGCAAGCCTGATCACATCCCTCAAACAGTGAGTGTGTGTGCCACTGCCTGACCTGGTTGTTAGACAGGGGTGAGGCTGAAGTGTTGTGTGTGGAGGTTCGGCCAGTCTTTCATGTGTGTGATGCGGATGGCCTGACCACATTTGATGGATGCTCCGCGCTGACATGGACGGTTGGGCTTTCCACGGATCTGCCAGTAACTGTTGGCATCGTCTGCGTTTTCCATCCAGTTACAGACTGCTGTCCACTGCCTACACACACACACACACACACACACACACAGTATGAGTGACAGATTTCAGGTGAGCTCCATTTAACGGAAAGAAGTTTGTATTGTCAGTTGTGAAGGTTTAGACTGAAGCAAGACTGCTGAACCGTTAAAACGCATTCTGCTGCATGATGCTTCCAGTTTATGGCTGGATCTATCTGATGGGCGGCCCGGTCTTTAATGGCTACAGGAACTGTGTACGACTCTTATCTAAGAAGAATCTGATGTTTGTTCTTTTTGTTTGTGTTTATTGACAAGGTGAAGTGGTGACAGTTGATTCAGTAGTTTGCAGATTCTATTTCGTTCACTCTGTCCCTGCAGACATGCGGCTGAGTTAGAGCATTAAGTGGATGCCCTTGCCCTGCTTGTTTGAGGCATCCGGCACTGGACAGTCCACAGCTGTGTCTGGATGATGACAGCCTCGCAGGTCATAGGGGTCTTTCATTATTCGTTCTCACTTTTGGGGGCCACTGATGATCTGGGGCCCTGGTAAGGTTGACACTTTGCCCATGTGGTATTAAGCTTTTGTTGTATTTCCTCCATTAGTGCCAAGTATGGAAATTTATATGGAAAATAGATATGGTAATAGCGTGCAGCAGGGATGGTCCTCCACAAAAGCCAAAGGGAATTCTCCACTGAGAGTCCTCTGCAGCTCTGACTGATACATCTGATAAATAGTTATAGTTTGTTAAATTTGCAACAAGGAGTAAAAGTGAAGGTTTTTTACTTTTATTACTTTTTATTTTAACGCTCTGCCTGCTTGAGAATTCAACTTGTCAGCAAAGCTGCACTAATTGATTGAAATATAGTTGAATCAATACAGCTAAAGTGCAATATCCAAATCACAGGAGCTGCAGTTGTTTTTTTTTCTTTTTTTGATGAAAGGTAAAATGTGTCACATTGTTGTGCACTGTTAGCACCATAAGCATCGTGATGCTACAGAGATGCCCCGGCCTACAGATCATATCCTCCAGATGTAAAGGAACGTTTGTTCGGTACAAGACCGAGAAAAATCACATCATCATCATTTTTAAATTTCTTTCAGTGAAAATGAAAACGCGACCATTCCAACTGAAAATCACATCATCTGCCAAAATAATTTTCCGATTTCCATCTTTGACGAAACAGAGCAGCGCCAAAAGACAACGGAGCCGTCTTCAGTGGTTGCTGTCTGATCGACTGGTGCTGAAAAGCAACATCGATTCAAAAATCGTATTTGAGAACTAGATCAAAACCTCTATGTGCCGTTGTGCAACCTGATTATTTACATCAAAAATGTTATCTCCACCTGTTTGTGTGAGGCATCCTTCATCTGCGGCCATCGGACTCAGCCCAGTGACACGTTAGCTCTCTTCCTGTGTAGCTCAGAGGCACCGAGACTGATGCGAATTCAGACTTTTCCTGTTTCACTTTCAGGCCCTCCGAGTACATGTACACTCCTCTTATCACCATCTTTAGTAGGCGTTAGCGGATGTGGAACAGATTCATGTGTGTGAATAATTGTCCACAGTTCTGCTCTCCAGCCCACTGACCATCCTGCTGAGTAGGCAAAGAGGGTGCTGAAGGCCTACGACCCCCTGTGGTGTGTTATACTCCGGGGCTTCTCTAACCTCAGTTTACTGCTGGTTCCTGTATGAAGCTTCAGACTTTAGACTCCAAATGTTTTTGATGTTTTGATAAAAACCTGACTGACCTTAGAAATATAGAGAATGCAAAATACACAGTAAAACATGCTCAGGCAAAGCACTGTACTGCAGTTACCACTAACTATTTTTCAGTTGCATGGCATTGGTATTTTCTTCACTGTGTATATTCTAACCTCTCAACAGATCACTGTCCTGTCACTTTAAAACACTCTATCTAAACGATATACAAGCCTATGGAAAACAGAAGAGCTTGAGATTTAGAGCATGGTGTATACAAAAAAAAAAAAAATTACTATACTGAAAAAATTGTTTGGCATTTGATGCAAATACTTGATTTTTAGATGCTTTTACAGTATGATATTTTCAGATTTGTGGCACTTTGTATTTTGTGTGCAATTTATGGATTTGTGTGAAGAGTTTTGACAAAATGAGACCTAGTTTTGAAAATGTGTGAAACAGTTGAAAAAAACTGTATCTGTGGGTTGATACAAAGGAAGCTTGTACAAATACAACAAGAAATGTTAATGTGTGTGGGGAAATGATGAACTGTTCTGAGATCTGCATTTAAGAGAAGTGAGAAAGCTGTTTCTCATGAGTGAATTGCATCAAAGCGATTGAGAAAAAACTTTAATTTTATAAACGGGCTTTACTTCAAACACTGAGGAAACAAAACATAAAATTTATTTCAATCAATGTCAGAGGCGGAAATATGGAGAAAGTATGTGTTAAAATGTGCTCATGCGTAAAGATGACACACTTGGTTCTCTGGACTCAAATTTTAAATGGTTACTAAGTTGCTATCACGCATCGGGAAAACGTGATGCCAGACTATATTTATAGAAATGACAATTTCACCGTTTTCTGTTTGCCAGGCAAAAATAAAACCTCTCAACAAATGACTCAATACATTTCACAAATACATACAATTTCTTCTGAATTTCGGCGCAGGATAATGCTGAAGAATATCATGTCGTTAAATTTCAAGTTATATCATTCGTTCACCTGCACCAGCCGCTGCTCCATCACGTTAAGCCTACACCCTCCTGGACTCCCTGTTTATTCCGGTGTGTACGCGGATGAGCAGGGCAGCTTCACTTTGAATTGTCTATTTTTTTAAATATAAATTTTTTACAGCGCAGTTCTTATATAACAATCTACAGACGTCTGATAGAAGCAGCTGTAGATCCACGGGCTGTCTGAGGGAAGTTGAGCCAGGGGGGGG